AAGCACCAAATATAGTTTTTCTATTAGTTACAAAATCTTCTAAAAGCTAAAATTATATTAAGTTATTAGCAAATTTTTAATTCATGCTTTTACTTCTACCAAAAGGGGTATAATTTTCCCTTTTTTTGTCCCTGTTCGTGACAGCAACACATATACCCCCTGGGACCCTGCTTCATTTTTTGTAGGACAATCCTTTTCTCCAAGTTCCTTAATCAATAAGCTGATAAAGAAAAGAAGCAAGGAAAGTGATGCCATTCCAAGGCGCACACAAGAAATCCTAGTTCGATCTTCTATACAGATGGATAGCTTCAAAAACTTGCTGGCATAATTGTCAAAATTGTTTTGACTTTGAAAGGGCAGCATATCCCATGAACAAATAGTAAACTCATCACTGACAGTCGTTTTTTACTTACTTAGCACCTCAACTGCAGAAAGCCGCTCTTTTGGATCAGCACGTAGCATCTTTTTTACCAGATCTTTAGCACTACTAGATATGGACGGCCAGGGGTCTGACACAAAATCAATATGCCCCCGTAGAACGGAATCGAATATGGCCCGCTCATTTTCTGCATAAAACGAAAAAAAAAAGATGACTGCCAAGGTGGAATTAAGTACAGTGACGTAATTTGATCTTGATGGTTATCGAATCATTCATCCATGTCAAGCACTATCTCCACGCTGATTACAAGAATGAACATAAATTTGATTACTTAGCCAAGTGATCTGTACATATAAACGACAAAGTGTGAATAGACGAATAATTCTCATGTCCTGGCTCCGTGTTTATTCCACTAACATTTTCATTCATCCATCCCCAAACAAATAAAAAATGTTGAAACTAAAATTATGGAAATTCTCACAAGAATTCGCCAAAAAAAATAAATGACTTCAAAATAAGTTGGTCATTACAGAGGCACAAGAAGCATACCTCCCCAGAAAGGAGGGACACCGCTAAGCAGTATATAAAGGATCACACCAGCACTCCATGTATCCGCCTCAGCACCATAGTTACGGCGCAGTACTTCAGGGGCCACATAATATGAACTTCCGACAAGGTCTCTAAATACATCACCTAACATGATCCATAAGCAATTATAAAAGTATATCTCATCAGGATTCACGACATTGAAAATACAAGCATTTCCAAATTCCAAGATCAAAAGTTATTCCAAGCTGATCAACAAGGAATATATATCATTTGCTAGGAATCAACATAGAAGAATAAAAATATGATCTTTTTCCAAGATTGAAACTGTTCTTGTCCATGCTTTCAAGGCCTACTTACGATGACCCCCAGTGATAGTGCGCAAATTCCCTGGAACCATCTTATTCTTTTGCAGACAAATAAAGAAGTAACAGTGTAAATACACAAAGCAAACAAAAGCTTAAAGAAAAAGGAATATTACCCTTAGTTGTACATAAATGAACATATTACCTAAATGCCGTCATATCACAGCTAGAAAAAGAACCAAAGCACAAGACATGATGATCTACACTTTTCATCAGTGCTAAATTTAGAAATTTCAAGCCACACTGTTCACACTCAGAAGTTCCATACTTTTTTCAGAAATTGGAGGAAGAAACTTCTTGTAAATTCCGCGGCAGAAGCAGGAGTTTCCACATTACCATAATCTTAGTGTTGCAGGGTCATCTTCTAGCTTAAACTGAAGAACTGAGCAGCATATAACAAATACGTAGGCAATACCAGGTATCACATACTGAAACATCGTTAAATGCCACTTGTGCAAAATTTCTTGTCATTGCCATCAGAATCATGCATCACAATGCCTTGTATTGTAATTACTACAGCAACGAAAGGAAAACACACACCCACACACACGACATAATGGATAATAACAGGAGAACCAGAAGTACCTTGTTTGAAGAAAACAGAGAGGCCAAAATCAGTAGCTTTCAACGGCGAGTTCTCGTCGGTACTCAGAAAAAGGAAATTCTCAGGCTTCAGATCTCTGTGCATAACTCCCATGGTGTGACAATTATGCACCACCGACACGATCTGCCGACACAGGTTCGCCGCAGCTCGCTCCGAGTAATGGCCTTTCGCTATGATCCGGTCGAACAATTCACCGCCCGCACACAACTCCATCACCAAATTCACCGAATGCCTATCTTCGTAAGCGCCTTTCAATTCCACTATATTCCTACTCAATGCAACAAAAAAAACAGGCAATGAACACCAATCACAAGATAGCGAAGCAAAGCTGAAGTTTTAGTCAGCCTGAAGACCTACTCTAAGCCAGAATAGACCGACCTCCTACGAATTCAACACCTGCGGCGCAGTTCGATTGATTTCGAGAATGAATCTACACTCGATTCGAATCGGCGACACGGTTCGACTGATTTCGAGAGAAGAAATACCTGTGGCCGGTCAAATGGTGCATGATCTGGACCTCGCGGCGGACGTCCTCGATGTCATCCCTGTTGACGAGCTTGCGGGTGGCGATGGACTTGCAGGCGAGCTGCTGCTTCGTCTCCTTGTGCGTGACCAGGTACGTCACGCCGAACTGGCCGCGGCCGAGCTCGCGGCCGAAGACGTAGGTGGCGCGGACGTCCTCCATCGGCCGGCCGAGGATGCGGCCGGCGGCGGGGGCGGCGGGGGAGGCGGAGGAGGGGGCCGGCGGGTGAGCGGGGCGGGAGGGCCTGGGGGAGGGGGGGCGGACGTTGAGGCCGTTGGAGTCGGGGGCGGCGGAGGAGGAGCCGCCGTGGGGATCAGGGGAGCCCGGCGGGCGGCGGTGGCGGGCGTAGGCGGAGGGGAGGCCGTTGCAGTTGCCCATTGGTGGAGAGAGAGTCAAAGGTTGGTCAACGAGGCGGAGATGGAGAGAGAGGGACGAGTTGACTCATCGGACATCGTGAGGTATTTGTTGCGACGAAGGTTGTCCGAAATTTTTTTTTTTTTTTTTGTGGTCGTGGAAAGTTGTCCGAAATTTTTTTTTTTTTTGGGTCAAAAAGTTGGCCGAATTAAACAGGAGGAAAAGTAGGTTGAATTAGAGGTGAAACGAATGGGCTTGGGCTTGGGATTGGTCTTGGGCCTGATATTGGGCTTTTTCTAGGGCCTGATATTGGGCTTGGGCTGGGGGAGTCTCGACGATTTTTCGAAGCTCTTAACAATTCTAATTCGAATGCATTCCAGTCTTCAAACTCGTTTGTGCAAAAGACATCGTCCGTACCGGAGTGTTTCTCAGATACGATGCCATGTGCAAGCGTAACTTAGGGAGGTATCTAGGCCCAGTTCAAAGCCGCGACGATACTGATATCGATTGTGATTCTCTTACGCAGAAAAATGTCCTTAAAGGGCGAAGAATCTTCGGTCTTTGGTCTGTGACCGCTAGAAATTCTCGAGTACGACGGACAGCTCCTGGTGCCTTCTTTTGACCTGGCGAAACCGGACATATACATGGCTTCTTCATCCTCTATCCAATATGAGGTCGGATTCATCCATGGATCAGATACCGCACTGTCCTAACCGGACTCCAAAGCCGGCGCCAAATCGAAAGAGCGCGAAATGCACCTAAATGAGTAGATGCTGTAGTTTGTCCTCTGATTAAACTCAAGTTGGTCTCTTTCTTCTCAGTTCACTATGATCCAGAGAACGCTAAAGATATGCAGGAGGAGCACCCAATCAAACAAAAAAAACACCTTGAGTTCAGACCATAGAAAGCAATGTAATAATGATCTTGGAGCGAGTCACTTATTTTACGTAGATCAAAAGCTGCCGAGTTGGGTTTGGGTGGTTCGTAAATGAATTCAGCTCAATTTCACGCGTTTAACTCACATCGACCCTTCTGACCAAAAGAAAAAAAAAAAAAGAAACTCACATTGACCTATTTTTTTTCTAAACAATTTAGACTACCTGTACCCAACCCAATCCAGATTCAACTCAAACCCACCCGCGTAACTCAACATTTTTTTTAACTATGCCAATCAAGTGATTAGTAAATTTAAAATAATTAAAAATTAATTGAAAAACAGAGATGCAATCTGCTCTTCCTCCACTAGGTATGAAATGAGCCTCGCCTCGCCTCAGCCCCTTCCTCCTCCGCGACTCCTTCGGCGTTGGTGGTGACATTTTGACTCTCTCTTATCCTGCCCCATTCGGTCCGATTCCGGTCCATATCCGGAACCAACAGGATAATGGGAGCGAGCAGCGATCCGAACACAGAGCACCAGAAGTGGTCGGAGATCTACACAAATGAAGCCCCCCCGGCACATCTATGCCATGAACCGGGGCGTTTGCCACGACAAGAAGTACCGCCTCACCATCGCCAGTCAACTCGATCACCCCACCGCCATCACCAACCGCGTCGAGATTGTGCAGCTCGACGACTCGACTGGCAAGGCCCGAGCCGACCCAAACCTCTCCTTCGACCACCCCAACCCCCCACCAAGACCACCGTTGTCCTCGACAAGGAATGCCAGCACGCCAATTTCCTTGCCACCCCCAGCGACTTCATCAGCATCTGGCAGATCACCGACGACTCCTCCCAGATCGAACTCCGCTCCTTCCTCAACGGCAATAAGAATAGAGAGTTCTGCCGGCCTCTCATCTCCTTCGACTGGAACGAGGCCGAGCCCAAGTGCATCCGCACCTCCGGCATCGACACCACCTGCACCATCTAGGACATTGAGCACAAGACCATCGACACCCAGCTCATCGCCCATTAGAAGGAGGCATTCGGACGCGTCGAAAGAATTGAACGATTAGAGGAAGAAAAGACCACGGACGAAAACAGAGAGGAGAGTTTGAGCCCTATATTAAATGAATTGAAAATAGGTCCGTTTGAGAAGCCATTTAAACCCATTTATTTCAGGCTTCTCATTTTAGAACCCATATAACTAGACCCTTCAAAATTAATACCGACCCGTTTAAACAACTTTGGGATTTTTCTTTTTTGGTCGAAAAACAATTTTGGATTAATAAATGGGCTTAAGACCCATTTTAACGTGACAACATATACGCGCTACATTTCGCCCCAGAAGCATTTTACACATAACAAAGGCTTTATTACATAAACCAGAATCCCAGGCAGACAGACAGGACAACGGACCTCTTGACCTTACAGGTACAATAACCTGTATTCCCAACCAGCTAAAAAATACACATAAATATTTACAGCAGAGACGAAGACAAATCCAGGACTCCAGACACTAATGACTAATATAACCTAACAAATTATCCCCCTTGATGTTACGAAAGGGCTGCAATGAATCACAAGCAAGTCGCTATTGGACAACCAAGCACACCAGTAGAGAGAAGGCACACACACGGGACAGACTTGATACTCCATCTGCAACACGATTGAATATGGTGCAAAGTTGACATTTCGGCTTACATCCAGCTCCGGGGCACCATGGGTTTCCCGGGTTTAGACAGATCGATAACTGAACCTTCAGTATTAGCTGGCCCAAGAGTAGAGCCACTCGCGAGCAGTGCCATCAGACTTCCACCATGGACCCTACCCTCCGGAACAGAGACTGAAATGGATGAGAGCCCTCCGTCCGCGACAGGGTAATCAGCGTTGCCGAGACCGTACTGCTGGAAACCAGAGTAAGCCGTGCCAGATGAAGTCACTTCAGAACCTGTAACCTTGGTGACATCAATGCTCGTGCTCTCCGTGGTCACAGTTTCTTTGGCCTTCTCGAGTTGGCTGACCGTGGGGCTCTGCACCATGGAACCCACAACCATGGCACCGTGGACCCTCTTATCCTGAACCAGGCCGCTGTGAAGGGCACAAAGGCCCGTCTTCCCACGAGCAAACGAGTTGCATGGGCCGCCAGCTTCCCCGCCAAAACCTGACCCAGGGTGTCCCCAGGCACATCTCTTGCCGCCACCATGCGCCTTGCAAAAGTCAGTGCTGCCTTGAGCGCTCTTGCCACACCCAGGGGCCTGGCACCTCTTACCCCCACCATGACGGACACAGTAATCAGTTCGTCCTCTCGCACTCTTCGTGCACCCAGTCACCACACACCTCTTGCCTCCCCCATGGGCTACACAGAAAGCTGTCCCCCCATGGACACTCTTGGTACAGACACCACCTCCTTGGAAGGAGCACCTCTTTCCTCCACCATGACCCTTGCAAAACGGAGTACTACCCTCGGCACCTTTGGTGCACCCCGCATAGGTGCAGCGCTTTCCGCCACCGTGCGCCTTGCAAAACAGAGTGCTTCCTTGAGCCCCTTTGGTGCAGCAAATGTGCTGACACCGGCGGCCGCCTCCATGGGAGATGCAAAGGCCGGAAAGGCCTTCCGCACTCTTCGTGCAACCCTCTCTCTGGCATCTCTTACCACCTCCGTGCCGTATGCACAAACCAGACTTCCCCCTGGCAGCTCGAGTGCAATTCTCATGGCTGCAACGTCTGCCACCGCCATGGGCAATGCAGTAGTCCGTACGTCCTTCTGCACTTTTAGTACACCCAAGGTGCTCACAGCGCCGGCCACCTCCATGTGCCTTGCAGAAGACTGTTCGGCCCTCAGCTCCCTTGTGGCAGCCAGGTTTCTGGCACCTCCGGCCACCTCCATGGGAAATGCATCGGCCAGAAGCACCTCTTGCTCCCTTTCCACATCCTTCAACCTGACAAATTTTTGTACTACTACGATGCTGCTGTTGCAGCTTCTTTGTTATCCCGGAAGTGCAGGTGACTGAGCTGTTCGGCGTTGTTATTACACTTGAAGACAGGTTTGGAACGATTGACGACGAAGCCGCATTTCTGGCATCTTGGTTAAGGAAGAAGCCAGCCTCTTGGTTCAGTGGGGGCAGAGCGATGCCTGCTTTCCAGAGGCACGATGTAGATTCTACTTCTGCACTTGATGCACAGCCAGCCAATGGAACTCCCTGCCCCAATTTAAATGGTGGGGAATCTGGATGAACGTTGGTGACATCAGATTCTGAAGGACCAGTTGAAAGACTCAATTCTAGGTCAACCTTTGGTTGCATCTGGAATGCTTTAGCATCCGACATAGTGACTTTCTTTGGGCCTGGCATCTTCTCACACCCGAGATGGAGGGTGAAATCCAAATCGAGATCCATTGACGACTCCTCCTCAGTTTCCTTGGCCGAGGATATTGCAGTGCAAGCAGTTGCCGAGCTACCCTTGCTGTCAGATGAACTAGAACATCGGCCTAGCACAAGGGACAGTGGAGAGCCAACTTGCTGCTGCTCCATAGCTCCATCAATCAAACTCCATTTGCGTTTGAGGCCCTTTGAAATAGGCGACAGATGAGAGGAAGAGCCAGGGGAATTGAGTCTCAAGATGGTGTCATAATCACCTTTAGCGCCCCCAACTTGCATAGAACTGCCCAAGAGACCAAAGGGGTTCGAAGAATACTGCGCGCCAAAACCCAAATTCTGGAACCTTGGATGCATAACGTAACCAAATGCCAATGTGTATGCCAATAGTCCAAACCTAATGCCAACGCAATAGCAGTCTGCCTGACTTCCGGGATAATGTTATTCGCTACAAAACTACAGTTAGAAATTAGTGGAAGCCATACATGCCTCCCCCACTGACAAAACCAGAAGTATCACGGCGGTCCATCTTTGACAAATAATTTAATGCAGAACTTTAACGATCAGAGCTCAACAAGCTTAGAAGAATCTTAGGATGTATGACTGGTGTGGATTGAGGCCATAGCTCTCAATTGCCTGCAAAGAATGAATAATTCAGTGTCAAAAACAATATCCTCCAGAAATTCTCAACCATCATAGTGACTGGTGTTCACAAGGAATAAGTATGCAATCAAAATAACACGTGAAGAATTAGTAGATGCAAATACGAACAAATTGATCACCCTATAATCTCAAGATTCCACTCATCACACGAGACCACTTAACTGACAGTTCTTAATTAGGGAGCTTATAAGGCTCACTAGCTATCCCTCTACTGTAGCAACAGATTAGCATACATATTAGCCCGGGCAAGTGACGAGCTACATATGTGTAAACCATAAAGACAGCATTTTCCACCTATAAGTGAAATAAAAAAACAATTATAAACATCCTAATGGCCAGAACATCATGTATCCCTGATTACAGTCCCCAGTATTAAGTGGGTAAAAGTATGCACTACACTATACTACCGTGAAACATCAGTCTATTAGAGATCTCATGTCTCAGAGCTCCTACCAGCAGAAAGCAACCGAATACATCTTAGCAAAAACAAAAAAGGGGAACAAAGTGCAAAACCTATAATAGAAAATTGTTACACACTAAAGTTGGTTAAGGAATATGTCTGAACTCTCACGCGTGTAGAGTGCTTGAAAGTGGAGTATGCATACAAGAGATCAACGTCAAGATTTCCGCCAGAAAACATATTTTAAATTCTAATTTCAGTCCAAGTCAACAAAAATTTCCTAGATGTCTAACTCTCTGAGGAAAAGAGCAAATCCAGATTGCAAACACCAAGCAAGGCAACTGAGGACCCGAAAATCAAAGCAAGGAAATCATCCACACAGGCATTAGCTAAGTTAAACAACTACGTAGCATTGCATCCATAAAATCAACAGACATGCAGAGTAAAAGTAGTAGCTAGCTATGTAGTCCAAGACAACGGCTTATAAAGACAAACATGGACAAGATCACCGAACTAGTACGAGATGAACAAGATGTTGATCAGGCAGAGAAAAAACCAAGAAGTAGCTGCTTATCTCATGATCTTAAGCTAGGCAAAAAGATTATGCAGATCGGGTGGAAACACTACAGAAACCAAATTATATGTAATTTGAAAATCTCAGACTAGGGAAGCAAAAAAGAAAGGTAGCACAAATCCACGATGCAAAACAATATGCTCGAAGTAGGCCTATTTTTCCCCTCAATATCCAACTCAGGAGCTCACAGATTAATACACACACACACACACACACCGTAGGACAAGAAAAAAGATTGACAAAACTGGATCTCGACACAGTACAAATGTTAAAACAGACGAAACGAATTGAGATACTAATGAATGAAGGAACAACGCAAGGGACAGGGTCACTGTTCAGATTCAGAACATAATCGGAGATAAATCACTAAGAAAAACAAGAATACGCAAGAAGTCCCCACGAAGCGCAGAGATTCAATCGAACCATCTGCACAGCGCTTCGGAATCCCCAAGATTCATTATTCACCTCTACTCATCCAAAACAGAGAAAAAAAAAACAGATAAAAAGCACAAGCATAATTGCAGGGGAATTACCAGAAGAAGAAACAGCAAAACGGTTTAGCGAACGATTTCCATCATTTCTAGCTCCAGAAACAAGAAGAACTGCAAGCCGAAAGAATCAGCGAGCGTTGCTTTAATCGAACCACTTGTCCGAAAGCCATGGTTTTTTTTTTTTAATCATTTGATTGATAAAAAAGATGCAGACAGCAAGAAGCAACGCCAGACAGCAAAAAACATTCTTTCGTTGATTTCTAAGGACATGAGCTCAATCGAGCTAAACCCTCTTCGATTGGTCGGAAAAGGGTGGAAAGAATCAGAGCTTCCTTCACAAAACAAAACAAAAAAAAAACCATTTTTTTTGCGCATCTCGTCGCCGAATTCTGCTTACCGAGACCACGACAGCACGAGCAATTCGGCACACGACTTCGTCCCCGAACGACAAACAAACCCAGAAAAACACAAACAAAGGGCCCGACTCCACGGCAAAACCAAAGCGAAACCGACGGGTTCCCGCAGCCGCGCGAACTCGGGGACAAAATTCAACGACAGGAAAAAAAAAGAGAAAAGGAGAAAAACAGGGCCTCGAAATCAAGAACGCGCGATGCAGAGGATCGAAAGAGGCCGCTCACCTTCGGAGCCGCGGGGCGGCGATTGGGCGGAGGGCCTTCCCGGAGACGGCGGCGGGCGGCGGGCGGCGGAGAGGAAGGCCGAAACCGGAGGGGGCGCGAGCGAGAGCTAGAGAGAGACAGAGCGAAAGCGGAGATGAGTGAGAGAGAGAGAGAGAGAGAGAGAGCACGCGTTGAAGGCAATGGCTTCGAGCTGGAAGGGGTGGGTTTAAGAATATCTGTCATGAAACCGAACTAGGGTTATATTCTTGGGTTCCCATACCTTTTTTCTTCATTTTTAATTTTATTTTATTTTATTTTTTGGGCATGTAGTTCTTTTCCCATTTTCCATTTCGTCACCTATTTTCCTTTTCAATTTTTTTTTGGGTCCTGCTAATAATGGGTCGGACCGCTTCGAACACCGCCCGCCTTCCGTACACATCGAGCAATTACGTGCGTTCGAAAAGATCCCACCAAAAATTGCCCCGGCGAAATGGAGCTTCCCGCTGTTTCGGGTCCGGAACGCGTGATGAATCGACAGGGGCCTCGTCGTCGATTAAAAACGGGGAAATTCGCGAGTGATCATTCTAGGCGTGCTTGATCAAAGGTGATAAATGGATTCCGGAGCACGAGGCGTCGCATCTTTCTTTTCTTCTTTTTTTACGTAAGCAAAAGAAGAAAAAAGGGGCAGGGTAAGCAGAGTACAATCCAAATTGCAATTATCCTATAACCAAATTGCAGTTATCGTAATCCGATGTACGACAACTCTTCAATAAAGATCGGTTAAGGACGTATGTTCTGCACGGCAAGATCAAGATCGGTGCTCATCTCGTCGCCGTGCATAAAAAAAAATGTTCCGGCGCGAGAGGTGTTTTCGCTAATCATTACCATTAAAGTTTTCGCAACAGTTTAAGAAAAAGAACATTGAACATGTAACATCTTGGTATTGTGCACATCAAATCAAGTCAACCCAATTCGTGATCCATAAAACTCAAATTCGGTCGGCGAGAAACTTGTGCATCTTGGCTCTACCACATCGCGTAAAAGCGGAAATGGCCTCGCCGAGAATCGAATGGCCGCGGCTCCCTTAGGGATTTTTCCCCATTTTTTTATTTTTTTTGAACGCTTCCGTGGTTGACTCGGGAGTTGAAAACCCAAAGAATAATACTAACCAAGTTGGTTAAACTTAATTGGGAAAGCAAAAATTATGTACGACCAAAATAAATATACGGGTTTAGGAAGACAGATTCCTTAAAACCAAAGCATATCCCTGACCGAGGAAGAACCGTGCCGCTGCTGCCGTAGCATCCATACCGGTCGATCGAAACCGCGATTTAAACCGGACGTCGGTCCAAGGAATTAATTAAATGGAAACCCAACTCGTCGGCCGAAAAAAATTGGATGCGAAAAGGAGAAAAAGGCGGGTGTTGTATGACGTCAGCGAGGGTGCGGTTTCGCGAATTATCGTGGCGTTTTTCTCTTCTTCTTCTATTTTTTATTAAAAAAAAATTAATAATGGGGGGAAATTTCGGAAGCGGAAAGAAACCGCGCAATTGCCGAGCAAGGAGAGAAGGAAAAACCGGAGTTAAATAAATAATCGGGAATGACAAATTAAATAATGAGAGAAAAAAAAAAAAGAAATTATTGGGGCGGTTGTTGAGATGGAGGGAGAGGGGGGGGGGGGGGGTCAACGGCGGGATGGCGAGGACGCATCCCCCGCCTCGCCCGCGTGGCGAAACGGGGACGGGGACGCGACCAAGCGCCGCCGCCGCCGCCGCCGCCGCCGCCCCCCGCGCGCGCGCGCGACACGTCGACGCGATTGGCTCGTCCGTTTTCCCTCGATCGTTTCGCTTTTTTTTTTTTTTTTTTTTGGTTCGAAGATCGTGTCGCGTCTCCCTTTTATTTATTTACTTACTACCCCCCTCGCCCGGCCCGGGGGTGACGGCCGCGGCCCGCCACCGCGCGGCGGGGGTGGGCGCCACGCGCTGATGGAGCGCGTGCGGAGGGAGGGAGAATGGTCGAAGCGACGCCGACCCGACCGCGAACGCGAGCGTGGAAGGAGGGAGAAAAAACCGCGAACGAGAATACCGTGGGCTCTCGCTCTCCCTCGTTCGCGATCTAGTCGCGTGGATTGACGACGTCCGCGGCGATGGGACCGCGGCTCACGCGCCCTCGGAGGGCGCGTGCGCCCACTCGCGGAGCTGTCGATCGCGGGGTCTTTTGGCTGTGGGGCGAGTGCGGCTCACCCGCCGCCCGGATTTAGCGTCACCCTCTTTGGTCACGCGCCCGCCTCCTCCTTTTTAGATCATTATTTTTTCCTTTTTTTTTTTGGGGGGTCGAAACCTCTTCATTTCAATTCTTTTTTTTTTTATGTCCAAAAGAAATTTCTGTTTTTTTTAATTGAGCGTGTTCATGCGGGCGCCAGAAACAAAAAGGACAGCAAGAAATATTAAAACATCTGAGAAATTTAGAGGGTGTGTTTAGGATGAGAACATCAAAATCACGTACTCATGTGAGTCATGCCCATTAAGTTCAAACCCCACCTGTCCGAATGGTCCCGGGGGGAAAAGAATGACGCGCAGCACCTGTTCGAAACACGTAAACGATGACGATCCTTGCTTTCTATGCGACATGGCATGTGACGCGACTAACGGATGCCCGTGCGACGTCTCGACGTGGCACTTGTTATTGTTTTAAAGAAAAAAAAAGAGACAATAATGTTTTGAATGCGGGTGAGGGCGATGGCGATGGCTGCCGGGACCGACGAGGTTGGCATTCGCTGGGACCGACGCCGTGCCGCCCTCGGCACCCTTCGCCCCCGTCCACTGCCCCGACGCGCCGCCGTTCTTGGTAGCGACGACGGCATTAACTCGAAGGGACAGTGCGGAACGGATCGTATCACAGCTATCCAGACAAATTCTACTTCGTTAATATCCGTGTGAGGTCATTACGTGTTCGCGTGAACAAACACGAAAACGAGCGATGCCCCTCCGGTGGCTCGAAAGGGTCCGGGCTTAACTAAGGACGACAAAGGCTAATTCCAACGCACGACCTTCGATTCCACCGAGCGTGGGGCTTAGCGAGAGCGACCTTCCCCAATTCGGGATACTGGTCGAGGATTAAAATTTTCAATCAATTTGCAATGTGTACACATGCCCTGGAAAAGAGACAAGGCGATAGGGGCGTCGCGGAGCAAAGCGTCGCTTTCGGAGGGAGGGAAGGTGGGGGGGGAAGGTTCCCATTTCAAGAAAGGATAAGATCTCGTCGATTTTCCACGTTTTAGGAACGGCTTCTCCTTTACCTAAAATCAAGAAAAGGTTGGGGAACCCACAAAAACGACCACCCAATTTATTAAAAAAACATATCAATGAATGAATAAATGAATAAAAAGAATGGTTCCTAAAACGAGCTCGAAGCCAAGTGGGCCCCTTCAATTTTATAGAGATTTTTCTTTGGGTTTTATGATTGGGATGATGACGCAAATGGTCCATGAATTTTGACTCGATTGGCAATGTGATCCATGAAATTTTGATTTGTTCAGTGTGATATCTAAACTTTACCCTAATGTTTAATGCTGTCCCTCAACTTTTCATTTGTTACACGTTCGATATAGCCCTTAAACTATATGGAAATTTTCAATAAAATCATTTCATTAATTTAATATCAGAGACAATAGTAAACATGACTAAATTAAATATGTACCGGTAGGAATTATATTGAACGAATCAAAAGTTTATGGATCAAATTACAGATTGAGCTAAAATTCATGAATCATATTGAACAAATTAAAAATTTAAGGATCATATTGCTGCAATAACTATTTGTGTGTCACGATCCATTCCTAAAACGAGCTCGAAGCCAAGTCGCCCCTTCGATCCGGAGAGATTTCTTTTTCTTTTTGTTTTTATAAAGAGAAAATGTTTAAGTTAATTTCCCAAAAAAGCACCAAATCCCGGGACTCGCCAAAAGGTCAAAGAATCCCATCCCCCCCGCTTTATCTCCCCACCACCGGATCGGGACACGTGGAACGTCGGCTGACCGTTGCACATTCTCTCCATCAAACCCACGAAAAGGGGGAAGCATCGGGCTCCCTCCTCTCCCTCTCTCTCTCTCTCTCTATTTCAATGGTGAATACATGCAAGGCATGGTACAAACTAGCGTGCACCATTCTTTTTTCGGGGTCTAGTTAGTGCTAGTGCACGGCAGCTCCACTTTTAGATTATTGGATCTTTGACCTCCACCGGTCCATCCATTGCCATTGATTCTGTTGGTGCTAGCACAAAAAAATCAACCCCCCCCCAAATAGTTTTAGAGCCACCGATCCGGCCTAAGTTTATACCTATGATCTCAATATTTAACTTATTTTGTATCGTTAATTATATAACGGGTTTTTTGTGATACCTAACTATTGGCTCCTCGAATGTTTTATTTTTCTCTTAAATCTAGGATTTCTTTTTTTATTTTGTGAATATGGGTTTTTGTGAACTTTCCTATTACCAGAACACGTCATAGGTTAAATTTTAATCTTACTTTTGTATATATGTACTAGCACACACAATCAATAATTACGTCCATAACCATATAATTCCGACGATCGGTCTTTTTTATTTTTTTGCTTGGCAATCCCAATGTTTGGTACGTGAAGAATATTATGCCGATATTCATCGACATAAGTTAATAGTTCAAATTCAACCATTGAAGTGCAATGAAAAGACCCAAGATTATGTTCCGTCCTGAAGTTCTGCACGTCTCAATTTTTTTTGCACCTTTATTATTTGTCGAGAATAAGAACCAACGAAAGGAAGTCCTGCCCTATGCCATTTCAAAGAATTCCATTTCTCGAAATAATCAAGTTCAGAAGGTGCAACTTTACGAACAGTGGACTTTTCATTAAACCCATTTTCTCTCTTTGTACGTTCCTTCGAACTCCATGTGTCTCACCCTCTCTGTCTCCTCAGAACATTTTAACTTGAGAAGTCGATTTCTTTTACCTTAATCTTCCATTTATAGTGCTTTTTTAGTAGCGAATATTTCGTTTAAGATTGTTTATCTGCACTTCAAGCACTCGTTTATTTTGTTTGAAATGGCAAGTTTTGGGGTCACTCCGGGCATGTC